CATGCAACTAGCACAAACACCTTTTACCTGTTGAGCTACCTTACCGGCCTATTCTTTCAAGCCCATATACTTTTAGTTCTCTCCAGAGCTGCTGTTTCTTTTTCTTTTCCTAAGACAGGGTTTCTCTGTGTTGCCTTGGTTGTACTGGAACTCACTATGTAGACCAGTCTGAGCTCAAACTGGGGAAATTCACCTGTCTCTGCCTCCCAAGTGCTGGTGTTAAAGCTATGTACCACCAACACCAGGCTTGAGAACTGCTACTCTTTAACAATGAAACCAATTCAAATCCCTGTCTTGGCTTGCAGAACAGTGGCACCTTTGACCACAGGGTAGCCCCTCCTACTTCAGGGCCAAATCTTATGGCTTTTCTCCCTTAGGTCCACCTAGTACACACAGGAAGTTTGGCTAGTTAATGATTCCACCAGGCCGATGATATTCCTGTCGACTTGGCAGCTGTCTCTGGACATGCCCACCTATTTCCTACTCTCTGACATCCTTAGTACCACTGCACATAGGTCTTCATTACTCTGCTCCACTCTCCTATCTGTTCCACACGTACTGCAGAAATCCACCTCTACTCATCTAGATCTACCCTTTCACCTGCTCCCCAGAACCTTCTCTTGTATACCTCAAACTCAAAAGCAATTCAAAGCCTAACACACAAAAATTGGCTCACAGGGGTTGGAAGATAGCTCAGTGGGTAAGGGCATCTGAGTTCTAACCCTTAGCACCCACATAAAAAGCCAGAGTTAAGCATGTACCTGTAACCTTAGCACTGTGTGGGTGGTGGTGAGGGGGCAGACAGGATTGCTGGCTACAAGTCTAGCTTTAGGTTTAGTGAGAGACCTTGTCTTGAAGAAATAGGTGAAGTGACAGAAAACACAGGCCATCTCCTCTGGCCCTTATGCATTCCTCAATGTACCTATCCCCACACAAAGAAAAAAAGTGAGCTATTGTCTTCAAACCCTCTCCCCTTTGCTAGTATTCATCCTGGGGAAGGACCTCAGTAGTATTCACTCATTTATTTCCCCATCTACTCAACAGATTCCTATAAAGTACCTAAAATGTACTGAATACTTTTATTAACTGAGATGCCCAATACACAAAAGCCTTACTTGTCTTTGTGTGTGCTCACGTGTGTATGTGTGTTAAGATGCACATGTATACTCAGGCAGGTAGCAGGCTAGGTCAGTGTCGGCTAAAAATGTTTTTTATTATTTTAAAATTGTGTGTGTGTGTGTCTATGTATGTGTCTGTGCACACAGGTGCAGATGCCTGCAGAATTTAGAAGAGGATACCAGAGCCAGGTGGTGGTGACACATTCCTTTAATTTTAGCACTTGGGAGGCAGAGGCAGGCAGAGCTCTGTTAGTTTGAAGTCAACCTGGTCTACAGAGTGAGTTCCAGGACATGTTCCAAAGCTACAGAGAAAAACACTGTCTCAAACAAACAAACAAAACAAAACAAAAAAGAAAAAAAAGGAAGAAGAGGAGAAGATCACATCCCCTGGAGCTGGAGTTACAAGCAGTTATAAGCCATCAGATGTGGGGGCTGGGAATCAAACTGCCAAGCAAGATCAGCAAATACTGAGCTATTTCTCTTGGTTCTGAATACAAAACATGAATACTTTTTTTTTTTAAGTGTGCCAATTGCAGTGATTATTTTGTTGCTTTTTGTGTTGTATGTGTTCTCAATGGTATTTTTTTTAACTTTTTTTTTATTTAACTTTATTATGTTCATTGGTGTGAAGGTGTCAGATCTCATGGAACTGCATTTTCAGACAGTTGTGAGCTGCCATGTGGGTGCTGGGAATCGAACCCGGGTCCTCTGGAAGAGCAGTCAGTGCTCTTAACCGCTGAGCCATCTCTCCAGCCCCCCAAAACATGAATACTTTATATGCCACAAAATACCTACAAAAGCACCTCGCTCAAGACTATTACTTGATAATGAACTGCAGTGTTTTTGCTTTACAGTTTATTTATGCTCTTAAACACAACAGAATCCAGATACAGTGGTATACACCTTTAATCTCAGTACTCGGGAAACAGAGGCAGGCAGATTTTGACCCTGTCTCAAAAAAAAAAAAAAAGTTAGCTGGGCAATGGTGCTTGAGTTTTGTCAATAAATAGATCAGAATTGGGCTGTTGTTAGCTGGTAGACTGCTTGCCTAGTAAGCACTAAGCTCTGAGCTCACACCCCAGCACCATATAAACTGGGTGTAGCGGCTTATCTATGTTATGGAATAGAATATTTGTTTAACTATGTAAAGACGTGTTGCAGAATTGTTTAGCTATCTAAAGATGTGTTGCCGCTTTACCTTGCCTGTCTAAGGCACCTGATTGGCTTATTAAAGAGTTGAACAGCCAATGGGTAGGCAGGGGAGGGGGGGGTTGTCAGGCAGAAACTAAAGGGAGGCCAGTCAGACAAAGAGAAAACAGAAAAGCAGGATAGACAGTATGTAAATGAAGTAAGCGAGCCTCAGGGCAGCAAACAGATTAATAGAAATGGGTTAAATTAAAAAAAAAAAAACCTAGCTAGAAGTAAGCGATGGTGGTGCATGTCTTTAATCCTAATACTTGGGAAGCAGAGGCAGGCTGATCTCTGTGAGTTAATTCCAGCACTTAAGGTAGAGGCAGGAGATCATAAATTCTCTGTCATTCTTGCCTACACATACATTTAAAGCCAGCATAGACTACACAAGACCTTGTCTTTCAAAAAATAAAACCCCAGGCTGAACTAAGGGGCTCAGATCACTTGTTCTTTCAGAAGCAGAGTTTGGCTCTTACAACCTCTGCTACCAGGGTTCTGACGGTCTCATCTGGCCTCCAGACCCACATGCTCAGGCATGCACACACAAAAATAAAATAAATCATGACTTTTTTGACACAGGGTCTCTCTATGTAGGCCTGTCTGACCTGGAACTCTCTATGTAGATCAGGTTGACCTTCAACTCAAATACTGAGTCTGTGCCACCTCATCCAGACAAATTTCTTTCTTTTTAAAAAAGATTTATCAGGCATGGTGGCACACACCTTTATTTAATCCAGTACTCAGGAGGCAGAGGCAGGCAGGTCTCTGTAAATTCATGACCAGCCTAGTCTACAGAATAAGGCCTCGAGTTCCAGAACAGCCAGGGATACACAGAGAAACTCATATCTGGAAAATCCAAAATACAAAAATAAAAGAAAATAATCACCCGAGCAAAAGACATAGACAGAACCTACTGGTGTTTAGGAAAACGGCCCAGGAAGTCCAAGCAGCTGAGGGGAAGCGTTTCGCATAGGAGTTAGGATGAAAGGAGTAAGAGATTTTTAGCTGGGCTTACAATAGGCAATCAACTGAAGAATGAATGCCTTACCTAAAGGAGGCCAGGTAAGAGAAATAATGTAAGTGAACATGCCTGTCACATTAGGAAAGCCGCTGTGGCTGAGTAACAGTGTGGAGGAAGGACTGCAGAGAAGAGAGCCCTTGGCACTGGCCAGCTGCTGGGAAGACACTTAACTTCCGAGTGAATCGTTCTCTTTAGGATACTGGCCTCTTTCCCTTGCACTTTAACCAGGGGTAAGCAGTACCAAGTGTTTACTGCAGTACTTCCTCAACAGCTTTGGTCAGAACTTTGGGGCAGCAGCTTCAGCGCATGTAATAAAACGTTCACAGTCCGCGTAGTCATTATTCAACATAATCTGCTAAATTGGATTTACTTTCGGTGATTCAGTAAGTTGCTTTCTCTATAGACTCAGTTTTTGGGTCCCCCCCCCCTTCTTTTAAAAGTCACAACTTGATGTTGCTCTGTCTTTTTGGTTTTCCGAAACAGAGTTTCTCAGTGTAATAGCCCCGGCGGCTGTCCCCGAACTCACAGAAGTACGCCTACCTCTGCCTCCTGAGTGCTGGGATTAAAGGTTCACGCCACCATCACCTAGCTAACTCAGTTCATTTTTAAGCAAGTGCACTCAACCATCTCAAAGCAGGCTGTCCAACATTCCAACCAGAAGCATTCCAGAATACATTTGCATTGCAATGACCAAATTTGCATTCTCCTCGGGTACACAATAAGCACATAAACATGCAAATACCTATCTACTAACTACGGTGAGGCAGTTTTCTAGGGCCTCCAGCTACCCCCAGCCCTTACCGCGAGCACTAAGGACCCATCCCCAAGGCAAGGAAGGAGTAACCGCGATTCCCAGGGCATGGGGGTCCCTTCTCCGGCGGCAGGGTTTCCCTCCGCCGGCGTCTCGAGCAGGGTCCCCACCATACGCAGTTACACTCCGTGAACGCCCCAGACGTAGGAAGTCTCTCTGTGCCCGGGGGAAAGGAGTCCCCACCGTGAGCGTTTCTGAAGCATGGATGCGCTCCGCTCCATGAGTACCTTAGAAGCCGGGAATCACTTCCGTGCATGCTCCCATCCCTGCGAGTCCCAACACTAAGGAGTCACCTTCGAGGATGCCCAGAAACGAGGCGTCCCTGCCCAAAAAACAGGAACCTCGCGGTCCGCTCCCGAGCTCCAGGCAGTGCTATCCCTGACGCTGGTCGGGACTCGGTCATAACGTTCGCCGAGTAAAATCCGGAGGCCTTGCCTTTGGGATCAGAGCCCGGCGGACTACAGGCCGGAGAACGTCCTTCCCTTCTCGCGCATTCCCGCGTTCCCACACACCTATTCCCCTCCCCCAGCTTCACACACACACACACACCACACACACGGGCAAAAAAAACAAAAACAAAACCAAGAAAAGACCCGGAACCTTTGCCTCGAACTCAGTCTACAGGTCTCCCATTCCGGTGCTAGCACTCAGGACGCAGACGCCCCCGCAGCAGCCATCTTGCGCAGGAGGGGCATAGCTCTTTTGACTCTCGCGCCAACCCGTAGAGCTAGGGCACCGCCGCAGAGTTATGCGCAAGAACGGAAGTGGCGATCCAAGCGTCCGGTGACCGTCCGCCCGGCCCCTTCGCGAGAGGATTCCATTGGTTGCCGGTTCGCATCTCGAGATCTCGCGATCTCGCGAGAGGTGTCTGAGAGGCAGACGCCGGTGTGTCTACCTCCGCTTCGCGCCCCGCCCCCGCCGCCGCTGCCGCCGCCTCCGCCTCCCCCTGCTTCTCCTCCCTATCTCCCGCTATCGCCGCCGCCCCTCCCCGGCCTCGGGAGCGGCCGCGGTGCCGCCGCCCAGACCGTGTCGCGCGGGAGGCGGGATCCGCACGGTAAGATGGCCGCAGCAGGCCCCGGCGGCCGTGCCGAGCGTCTCCATGGGGCTCCGGGGTGGGCCGAGGTGCGGAGGTCAGAGGTCGGGGGCCTTAGTTGACCCGCCCCGGGTATGCTGAGCCTGCAGCTGGAGCCGGGGTCAGGGAAGTCGGTCCTGCCCTGCACGGCCTTGCCCCGGACCGGGAGGTCCGGAGGCTGCGCTCAGTTAGGGTGCTGCCGGGACCGGAATAGTTACTGCAAATGTTCCCGTGTGTCTGTGAGGAAAGCCGCTGTAAATCGGAGACTGGAAGGTGAAGATGCAGTTGCTTCGTTGAAAGTCATCTTCAGGGCTTAGGATGCTCCCCTGTCGCCTGTGTAATCGCTGGATTTGGGATCCCTGAGTCCTACAGAAACGTTGTCGCCGGGTCTCTGTCCGCAGTCCGCTTCGGGCTGCAGAGTGGAAATCGAGAGGAAGGGGCCCAATCAGGGAACATCTTCCCAGACTTGCTTATGTATCCACAATAAAAGTTGAATAAGAGTAAATTCTGCTGCTGTTACCCTGTGGCTGTGGAGAGGCACCTATGACAACCCTGTTTAATTTCACTTCCCTCCTCCGCCGCTACTTTTCAGGCGGCTGGGGCCTCCAAGTCTGCCAGAACTGGAGGTCCTCCTATGCCTCAAATTCGAAGCGCCTCCTCATTCCCTGCACACATTCTCCGAAAGTGGGCTTTGAAACTTTAATATCTTATGGTTTTTATTCTTGGACACTCTTGCTTAAATAACTTTCCTCCTTCCGGCGTGTTTCCCTAATTGCTGTTTCCAGCGTGGGTCCCAGGACCTGTAATCCAGAGGCCTACCACACCTCTCCCACTGCCTGAGTCCTCTGCACCCAGACTTGCCCTGCTCCTCCAACCTGTTCTACTCATCCCTCCCACGGTGTTGTGGTCCCATTTCTAAGGCTTGACACCTGAAATCTCCAGTCTCTGGTTGCCCCGTGCCTGACTTTTCTCCCTTCGTATTCAGTCCAGCGACAGCTGCCGTTGGGATGGAGGCTAGAGCGGGATCCCGAGTGTCTGTTCTCTTCTGCTGTCCCCTGTGAAAGTCCTAGGATGTCTCTTTGTTGGACTGCTTAGCTCTCTCCACCCAGTGTGCATTCCGGTCAGCCCAGAAACCAGAGCTATCTTTCAGTTTTATGATTTATTAAAGCAAGTTAGCTTGCCCTTTGCAGTGTGCAAAGTAATATCCATGAGGTATATGTTGGTAACAAAGTGTGATAAACGGTCCAGCTGGTGCTCCCAGAGCTACCCCAGCTGCCTTACTGTGACTCTGCCATCCTGCCTTCCTCCCACATGAAACAATTCCTGTCAGATTCCATGTCATTACTTTAAAGTACTCAATGTTTAGTCTAAAGACTTGCCATGTAGTTTGTTTCATGTTGGTGTTTAAAAGTGATACACACACCAAAAAAAAGTGATACACAGCCATATTTCCTTCTAAGGTCTAAATGCTCTGAATGTAGAAGCAGTTTTTTTAACTTTAATTTTTTTTTTTTTGAGACAGGGTTTCGCTGTAGTTTTAGAGCCTGTCCTGGAACTAGCTCTTGTAGACCAGGCTGGCCCTGAACTCACAGAGATTCGCCTGCCTCTGCCTCCTGAGTGCTGGGATTAAATGCGGGCACCACCACCGCCCGGCCTTAATTTTTAATTTTGTTTATTTTTAAGACAAGGTCTAACCATGTAACTGGCTGGCCCAGAACTTGATCTGTAGACCAGACTCAGTTTAGAGAGATCTTTCTGTCTCTGCCTCACAAATGCTGGGATTAAAGTTGTGTGCTGCCACACCCAGCCAAAACAGTTTTCTAAAAGCTATTTGTTGGCAAAACTTGATAACATGTTTCAGCTTCCTTTCCACTGAATGTGAATATGCATGCCTCACCAAATGATGTATGCTTGTCCCATGCTCCCGAGTCTCTGGAGAGGCTGTGATGCACAGAGCAGACCGGAGCGTGTGCCATCTTATCTGCCAGCTGCAGAACACACCTACCCAGGGGTTTGGGCATGTCATCTCTATCTCAGAGTTCCTTTATTCAGACTGGAGAATGAATGTTTTGGGGAGGTGTGCATTGGAGAACAGCACATCTTCAGTGCATGTTAGACACTTTCTAGGATGCAGGAGTACAGTTGCTGCACTGCAGAGACATCGTGTATCCTTATAAGGAGTGTTTTCACCATGTGTGTTCCAACAAAACAGTTGGAGAAGACTCCATTCTTCACTAAGACTTGTCTTCATTTTGCCTGTATATTGGTGTGTTTTTTTACATCATAGCATGTAATTTTTAGTATAGAATTCTCCAATGACTGCCCTCTATACCTAGCTTCAAAACTAACCACCTCCTTCAAAGTGTGATGACTTTTCTGTCTGACACAGTCTGATGTCTTGGCCTCTTCATTCTAAGACTTTAGACTCTTTGCTTCATTAACCAGACTTCCTGCTGGAGATGGAAGTTTCTGTCCTGCCCAGTCCCGTTGAGTCCCAAAGAAACACACAGAGGCTTATCTTAATTATAAACTCTTTGGCCTGTTAGTTCAGGCTTATTATCAACTAAGTCTTCTAACTTAAATTAACCCATAATTCTTGTCTGTGTTTAACTGCATGGCTTGGTACCTTTTCTCAGTGAGGCATTCTCATCTTGCTTCCTCTACATCTCTGCCTTTTCTCTTCCCAGAATTCTTAGTCTGGTTGTCCCACCTATATTTCCTGCCTGGCTACTGGTCAATCAACATTTTATTAAACCAGTATAAGTGACAAATCTTTGCAGTGTACAAAAGCATTATCCCACAGCATCCTACCCTTGACCATGTTACCTAGACATATGTTTTTCTCAGACCTGTTTTGCCTATCAGTTTTTTTGTTTTTTTTTTTAATAATTTTTTTATTAAGAAAAGAAGAAAAAAAAAACATAAACAAAAAACAAGTTTCCACCTCCTCCCACAGGGCAGGGAACCTGGACTGCTCTGTGGCCTATCAGTTTTAAGATTAAAAGTATCCTCCTATTCTTCCACTTCTTACTATATTGCTATGTTTATTTTCTGAAATGATTACGATGGACATATAATTCTCCCTCAATTGTATCTTTTTCCTGTAGAAGTAAATCATAATGAGTTATGCAGAAAAACCCGATGAAATAACCAAAGATGAATGGATGGAAAAGCTCAATAATTTACATGTTCAACGAGCAGACATGAACCGTCTCATCATGAACTACCTAGTCACAGGTAAGGCTCGCTGTGACCATAGCTCTCCCGTAAGTAAGTAGCCCTTTACCCGGGAAGCATTATGATAATGTTAGGTTATGCTGAGAAATCATAAAAGCACAAACTTAACTTGATGTTTGTAAATCAAATAGACTTGTTAAAGATGATCTTTTTCTAGCCCTGGGTGGTATGGGTCACACCCATAATCCCCACACTTGGGAGCCTGGACTGTAATGTGAATGTAATACGTTTTCTCCACTTTTCCTCCTCCCTAAAAAAAATATTTTTCCTGTTAATAAAATAATTGCTCCAGATCTCTGAGCCCTTAATGCAACATCCTTTCTAGGCTTTTGACAGTTTTATAGTTAAGCCTTCATGATCATTCAGGGTCTTCTGACTCAGAAGGCTGAGGCAGGAGGATTCTGAATTCTAGGCTAGCCTGGACTGCGCAGCAAGACCTTATCTCAAAATTAAAAAAAAAAAAAAAGTTTTAGAGTAGGTTTAAAGTCTAAATAATTGATGCCTCTGGCCAGTTTGGATCTAGGTGGAGGGGATGCAGAGAAGCAGCACTCTGGTGCTCCTGTCACGGGAGTGAAAGTCAGCTGTCTTTCTGCCCAGTTCTCACAAGTGAGGAATGGAAGTTTCCCAGTAATCCATATCCTCCTGCACCTTTCCAGTTAATTTCTGCTAAAATTTCTTAGAAATTGGCTACAGAAATCTTAGCCTGCCGTATCACCAGGCTAAGCACCACTAAAGCAGCTGCCCTGTGAGGATCTAGCAAGATGTCTGCTTCACCTGGGCTTGGCTCTTTCGCTCTGGCATCCTGACCTACAATCAGTTCCCGTCTAAAGGTGTTGAATCACAGCACACAATGGCTAACAGTCTATAACCTCCAGGTTGAGGCTAGGCATTTTGGATAGCTGAAAAGAATGACAGCATTGACTACTAATCACAGAAATAAATAAAGCCCCTGGGAAAGTGTGCTTTCTGTGTAGGGTCAGTTGGCAGTGGTTGGCTCTCTAGAGCTACAGAGCCTTCATTCCTGATCCTTTCCCAGCAGTGAAGGTAGTTTTCTTTTCAGAGGGCTTTAAGGAAGCAGCAGAGAAGTTTCGAATGGAGTCTGGGATCGAACCAAGTGTGGACCTAGAAACACTTGATGAGCGAATCAAGATTCGGGAGATGATTCTGAAGGGTCAGATCCAGGAGGCCATTGCCCTGATCAACAGCCTCCACCCAGAGCTCCTGGACACAAACCGATATCTTTACTTCCACCTTCAGGTGAGTTCCAGAAAGACGTTGTCGGTGTGTGTATTAGTAGAAGATTGCTTAGTGTTGGGAAGGGAATAACAGGCTTTGAGGTAACTGCTACAGTATGTACTATAGAAACCAATACTTTTTAAAGGTGTGTGTGTGTGTGTGTGTGTGTGTGTGAGAGAGAGAGAGAGAGAGAGAGAGAACGAATACAGAGTCCGTTCCCTCTGCCCTTACCCAGGTTCTGGGGATCAAACGCTCCACTGGAGCAATCTGACCAACCTCCGTTTTGCTCTTAAAGGAAATGCACTATCTTAGAGATGCTAGAAAAGTCTTTCTTTTTTCTTTTTTCTTTTTTTTTTTTTTTTTTGGTTTTTCGAGACAGGGTTTCTCTGTAGCTTTGGAGCCTGTCCTGGAACTCCCTTTGTAGACCAGGCTGGCCTCGAACTCACAGAGATCCTCCTGCCTCTGTCTCCCAAGTGCTGGGATTAAAGGCGTGTGCCACCACCGCCCGGCTCTTTTTTTTCTTTTTGTTGCGGTGTTGGGTAGAACCCAGGGCCTTGACTACGTGCTAACCAAGGGCTTTAACACTAAATTACACCCTCAACCCCATAAGATAAACTTTTGACTGGGGCCAAGTGTTTATCTAGGTGTGTGTCTGCCAAACTTGGCTGTCTTTGCTGTTGGCCATACTAGGTGTCACCTACAGGGTGGGTGCTAGTTCAGCTTGTCTGTCTTTGATACTGACCAGCAACAGCACTTGATTGAGCTCATCCGTCAACGTGAGACAGAAGCAGCTTTGGAGTTCGCCCAGACGCAGCTGGCAGAGCAGGGTGAGGAGAGCAGAGAGTGCCTCACAGAAATGGAGCGCACGTTGGCCTTGTTGGCCTTCGACAGTCCTGAGGAGTCACCTTTTGGGGACCTTCTCCACATGATGCAGAGGCAAAAGGTAAAAGGCTGGTAAGGGAAGAGCTGTGGTCATGGACACTCAGGGGACCTGTGTAAAGATGGTACACGTGCTGCACTTGTGAAGGGTGAGACACAGAGCCCTGGGTGAGGTACTCCAGTGGGGTACTGCAGCTCCTCTGCTCTGTACCCCTTTATCTTGTACAGTAGGAGAGGCAGCGTTACAACTGTCAGTATTCAAAACCCTTTACCAGTTTTTATTCTCTTCATCCTCTTAGCCTTCTTTCCGTCAATTTAGAAATGGGTATCCTAAGTATTTCCAAATAAGATCTGTCTATTCTCCTGAAACTTTTTCTTGTTCCTTCTGTGTGCTGTAAACATTACAGCACATTGCCTCCCCAGAACCATGTCCTTTCCCCATGTGCTGGATCCCTCTCTCCTAGGCCTCCGTCCTCCACATCCTATTAGAAAGACTGCCCCTCCTTGAAGATGTCTCGTTAAGGCTTCTGTTTTAAAGGGCCAGGACACTTGGCTGACCTCGCTGTGACATTGCAGAAAGTGCAAGAGCCCCTGCAGATGAGGACCTTTTAGGGTCCCTGGAGTGGCTTCTACTCACATGTTTAATGTGTTTTTAAATTAGTGACAAGCTTCTTGGGTGTGAACAGTACCCAAATGGGCTGGACTACCGTGTAGTGGTAGAGTGCTTGCCTGATGGGCGTAAGGACCAGGGTTTTATCCCTAGCGCTGAAAGAAGATGTCTTGGGCCGGGCAATGGTGGAAGAAAAGATGTCTTAAGTATATTATCAGACTTGCTGGTAGTGCACATATGTGGCCATCTCTATTGGATTTGTTTCTTTTCTAGGTGTGGAGTGAAGTCAACCAGGCTGTTCTGGATTATGAAAATCGAGAGTCCACACCCAAGCTGGCAAAATTACTGAAACTGCTACTTTGGGCTCAGAATGAGCTAGACCAGAAGAAAGTAAAATATCCCAAAATGACAGACCTCAGCAAAGGTGTGATTGAGGAGCCCAAGTAGAGCCTGTGCACAGACCCAGCACTGTCAACCAGCACAGGACTCATTCATTCACTTCTGGCTGTGACTGGCAGATTTGTCACTGCAGTAGAGAACCTTTCCCCCTGTAATTTTCTTTGGCCCTTATTGTTTAAAAAGGGGAAATGGCCTTTTTAAACACTGGCAAACCCATGATGGAAGACACCACCTCTGCCTTGCCCTGCATCCCGAGGGTTGCACACTGCAGTTGACTCTCCCAGTGCTTCCGGTGTTGCTGACTCTAGAAGATCTGGTTTGCCAGATGTGTGCTGCACTGCTAGGGAGTGTCACTCCAGCCGGTGGCTCAGGCTCAGTCTGTGAAGAGCGCTGACATCCGTTTGCTTCTGCTAGTGTGCAGGCAGGCAGTGTTTATTCTCCTAGGTCTTCACAGGCTTTCCTTACCCGTTTTCTTCTTTTCTTTCTTCTTCCTCCTCTTTTTGTTCCTTCATAGGAAAGAATATATAAATTTGTAAATCTTAATTCAAAGATAACTTGTGTGTGGGTATTGAGTTTGGTTTGGTTCTTTACCTTTTGGTTCGGGCTGTGTGGCTTTTGGGAGGGGATATGTGTGTGTTTGCGTGAGGGATGAGGCTGTGTTTCTTAATTTTTTAAATATATTTTTTGGTGCTGTATGTGATGAGAGACTCGTTCATAGTGAATCAATGAACTCTCTCTTGTAGGCAACTTTGTTGAAAATAAAGATTTCTCTTTACTTCCAGAATGACCACCATGGCCTCTAAAGAGTTCTCATCCACACAGCCCTTGTGTGGGTGTCCTTCTCCTGTTGGCACAAGGACAGCACCTGTACTCGTAGCTGAAGGACTAATTGAAGAGTCCGTCTGCCTAGGGAGTGCCCTCCATGACAGCACAGCAACTGGGTGCTGGTGCGGGTGGGGTGCACAGATCCGCAGAGCCCTCACAGTTATCTGTGGATGTGGATGGTGGAGATGGTACGGGTGCCATCCCTTGCTGGGAGTTCTTGCCTGTCTGAGTTCCGGTGCCCAGTGCTCACAAGCAGTGTCCCAACTGACTGCTGAGTTGGGATTGTTTGCCTGGTTCTTGAGCAGTCCAGTGTACACTGACCAGCTAGGTCAGCCAGGGTTTGTTCAGCTTGCTGGCACCTGGGCAGCAAGGTGACACAACTAGCCAGCTGTCTCATGTCCCTACCTGAGTGTTGTTCATTGGCATCTATTTTCCTCCCACAGGAGACTTTCCTTGTTGGGATGGAAGTGTCTTCCAGCTCCCTGCCTTGGCTACAGAAGGCAGGTACTTTGGCAGTATTCCTCTCAGGATCCCATTAGTGACAGGCTCGAGGATGCAGTTGTTGCTGCTCTCCTGGTTTGTGAGTAAGGAGCAAGCAGAGCTCCCTTGACCTAGACAGGTGTCCTTCAGCGTCTCTGGGGAGATGGGTCCTCAGTTAAGAAGACGTGAGTCTAGCATCCACATAACAAGTCAGGTGTCCCCCAGCTCTGAGGGACCTGGTGCCCTCTTTGGCCTCCACATACACAGACATGCAGGTGCATGTGTGTACTTGCACAAACACAAAATATTCTTTTTAAGGTAGAGGGAAAGGAAGCTTTAATTTTCAGGTAGTAAGTTAAATGAAGCAGTAGCTGGGGAGGGGGTATCAATAAAGATGCAGTGTTTGTTTTTAAAACACCACATAAAGCTAGGTGTGGTTGCTCCTGCCTTTAATTACAGCATTCATGAGGCTGAGGGAGAATTTTTCTAGTTCAGCCTAAGCTGTATTATGTATGAGATCCTCTTTTAAACAAACAAAAAAAGCACCAGATAACCAGAATATTTGTATCTTTTGTTAATATGTATAAGATTTTTCTTATAGCTAATGAGTTTGATATGGTTTTTTTTTTTTTGGTTTTTTTTTTTTTTTGGTTTTTCGAGACAGGGTTTCTCTGTGGTTTTGGAGCCTGTCCTGGGTTTGATATGTTCTTAAAATTACAGTGCATGAAATGTATAGTAATGGCAAGTTTCTTCTGTAGGGATTATCCACATATACACAAAAGAGCCTTGTTGCATGCATGAAATGTTAAACAGTTCTAAATCTTAATCACTTCAGTCAATAGCTTAATCAGCCATTGTCACAGATGTCAGTGAAGCTGAGGACTTCAGATAGAGCTGCTAATTTATCCATGATCTGCCAGTGTCCAGAAATCCTCTTCCAAGGGGGTGCATGTAGACTCTGTTGCAGCAATAAATGAAGTTAAGCTACTTGCATGCAGGATAGATTAGGTTTTTTTCTACTTGTCTCCTTTGAGTCTTACTCAAAAAAAGTGTTTCTGGCTTTTTACAAAGAAGTTTTATTTCTTTTTGCACCTTTTGATGGAAAGTGCCTTGAAATAAATGAAACTTGAGAATATTCTGGTACTCTGTTCCAGCATCATAGAATTGTGCAAGGGGTAACCCCAGTTTGAAATCTCCTAAAGCATGGTATAATTGCACACTGAAAATGGGGTGTATTCCTAAAGCATACTGATTATTGCACACCAAAGATGGGGTGTATTCCTAAAGCATGGTGATTATTGCACACCAAAGATGGGTGTATTCCTAAAGCATACTGATTATTGCACACCAAAGATGGGTGTATTCCTAAAGCATACTGATTATTGCACACCAAAGATGGGTGTATTCCTAAAGCATGGTGATTATTGCACACCAAAGATGGGTGTATTCCTAAAGCATGGTGATTATTGCACACTAAAGATGGGGTGTATTTGTTTTGTTACTTGAATTGTAGCTCAAAGTTGATATTTGAGACCTCTGTAGTGTATGTACCAGAAAAGTAGTGCCTTTGAGGTCGGGCCTGTGGACAAGGTGGGCAGTGTGATGTCTTTATTTTCTTCTGTGCCATAGTTTAGAGAGCCAGGGTTCCCAAAAGACTCTTAACTTGTTCCATGATGAAGACACTGATGTCATCAAGAGAATGAAATGGGATTTCTTTATAGGTTGTTGCTGTCTGGTCTCAGAATGAACAAAGACCAAATCCCAAGTGTCATGTGAACAGCATGGTCTGTCTACACCCCTGCATCTGCACACTGAACTGTGTGCAGTGGACACCACACGTGGGTACAGTCTGACCTCAAACCTTCACTGTCTACACCCCTGCATCTGCACACTGAACCGTGTGTAGTGGGCACCACGCATGGGTACAGTCTGACCAACTTTCACTGTCTACACCCCTGCATCTGCACGCTGAACCGTGTGCGGTGGGCACCACGCGTGGGTACAGTCTGACCAACTTTCACTGTCTACACCCCTGCATCTGCACACTGAACTGTGTGCAGTGGACACCACACGTGGGTACAGTCTGACCTCAAACCTCCACTGTCTACACCCCTGCATCTGCACGCTGAACCGTGTGCAGTGGGCACCACGCGTGGATACAGTCTGACCAACCTCCACTGTCTACACCCCTGCATCTGCACACTGAACTGTGTGCAGTGGACACCATGCGTGGGTACAGTCTGACCTCCAACCTTCACTGTCTACACCCCTGCATCTGCACACTGAACTCTGCAGTGTATACCACGCGTGGGTACAGTCTGACCTCCAACCTTCACTGTCTACACCCCTGCATCTGCACACTGAACTATGTGCAGTGGACACCATGCGTGGGTACAGTCTGACCTCCAACCTTCACTGTCTACACCCCTGCATCTGCACACTGAACTCTGCAGTGTATACCACGCGTGGGTACAGTCTGACCTCAAACCTTCACTGTCTACACCCCTGCATCTGCACGCTGAACCGTGTGCAGTGGGCACCACGCGTGGGTACAGTCTGACCTCCAACCTTCACTGTCTACACCACTGCATCTGCACGCTAAACTGTGTGCAGTGGGCACCACGCGTGGGTACAGTCTGACCAACCTTCACTGTCTACACCCCTGCATCTGCACGCTGAACCGTGTGCAGTGGGCACCACGCGTGGGTACAGTCTGACCAACCTTCACTGTCTACACCCCTGCATCTGCACGCTGAACCGTGTGCAGTGGGCACCACGCGTGGGTACAGTCTGACCAACCTTCACTGTCTACACCCCTGCATCTGCACACTGAACTCTGCAGTGTATACCACGCGTGGGTACAGTCTGACCTCAAACCTTCACTGTCTACACCCCTGCATCTGCACGCTGAACCGTGTGCAGTGGGCACCACGCGTGGGTACAGTCTGACCTCCAACCTTCACTGTCTACACCACTGCATCTGCACGCTGAACCGTGTGCAGTGGGCACCACGCGTGGGTACAGTCTGACCAACCTTCACTGTCTACACCCCTGCATCTGCACGCTGAACCGTGTGCAGTGGGCACCACGCGTGGGTACAGTCTGACCAACCTTCACTGTCTACACCCCTGCATCTGCACGCTGAACCGTGTGCAGTGGGCACCACGCGTGGGTACAGTCTGACCAACCTTCACTGTCTACACCCCTGCATCTGCACGCTGAACCGTGTGCAGTGGGCACCACGCGTGGGTACAGTCTGACCTCCACCCTTCACTCACTGTGTTTTGTTCATACATCTCATTCTGGCACTCTGTGTGTGTATTTTTTTGTTGTACAAATGTATTGCTTTTTTATGATGCTTAGTAAGCTGATTTGGCAGCAATAGACATAAAGAGTCTGTATAAATCCTTAGCTGGGTAGAGTACTTCTGCATACTTAATTGTAATTCTTCATTCAGGGGCATTTGTGCCCGAGCCACACATCATCTGAGAAGTTGGGTGACTTCTGGCTGCCTGCTGTGGATTTGCTAGTAAAAGTTTATAAGTTTTTCACAGAATGGTTGTCTGAAAGCTCTCCCCCCGCTCCCACTTCCCTGGAGAGGTACCTGTGCAAGTCGGTGTATTAGACTTGGAAGAGTTGGAAGATGTAGCTGCACTTGGTTTGCTGTGTCCCCACTTCAGCAGTATTTACCTTGTTATATAAGAAAGCTTCCAGAAATGAAAAATACAAGCACCACTGTGCCATAGCATGGTGCCAGTCCACTCCACTGACAAGGGCAGCGTTTCTGGGCCCCAGGATGAGGTGGCTGTGGGTGCCCTGTGTAGCGTGCAGTGGCTCCCATGCTGCTGGCCGTGTGGATGGACCTCTCCATTGCTGTTTTCTCAGCTGGGCTTGAGAGAACTGCAGGGAGAGAGAGGAAGCTTCCAAGGACACTGTCAGCACGCTACAGAGGCATCCTGCATTGGGTGGTGGGTGGTGACTGTACCGGAAAGGCCTTTGCCATACCTGGGCCTTCACGGCAGTGCCATCATGTAGCACACAGCTTCCTCATGCTCCAAGAGGGTACTGCTAAGCTCCCAGTGGCAGAGATCTCTGGTATGCTTGAACATGAACTCTTGCATGCTGAGTGTGAGGGGTTTGGGGGACCACCTATCATGAATACTTTCCCTCAATTTTGGAATATCATCCTGACTTGAGACTTTATATTTACATGAAAGAACACAGGATTTGAATGGCCTCTGATGTCATA